ATCTGACAGTTCTTTTGGAACAAGAGTCCTGATTTGAAAAGTTTTACTGTACCAAGCTGAAATACACAGCATTAGTATATCCAGTGTCACATGAATGTAAATAATTCAAAGATGTACATAAGGTTACAAAACCCTTCTAGTATCTTGTAGCAGAATTGTTGAATTATTTAAAGATTAAGGGTTGAGTTTAATAGTTATTAAAAAATTACATTTTGTCACAAAATCATGTCTCTTGAAATTAGGTAAGTTTATGACATAGCACCGATATATGGATGGCTGGACCATGCTATCTTTCATATTTACATATACATGTATTGTCATTCACTGCTTAAAATATCAAAACATATAGATATTTATATGTAATTAATGTTTCATTCATTAATAATTTTATGTAATTAATTTGAAATTGATCATTTTTTTCCCAAATGGTGTAGCAATACTGTCTCAATCTTTAGTTTCATTTTACCACATGGTTGTAGATCATTCGTTGTTGTATTTATAACGTTAAACCTTAGGTATGTTGATTTGCTGGTATTTCATTCTGATTTTGTTGCTTTGTATTTGCTATACCTCAGTTTTTCTTGCTAAAATCTAGTCATATTCACTGCCAATTCCACCATGGATTTGTATTTTCCCAAACCTTATTTATTTTTTTTTAATATTTTGTTTTAATTAGTTTATTTATAATGTATAGCTTGATTTATCTCTTATGTTATATCTTTATTTGTATTTATTTTGATTTTGTCACACAGTATCTATATACATAAATTATACCATGTAAATTGTAAAATGTAATAGATAAAAATAATGATTGTTAAACTTTTTTTTTTCAATGCAGAGTAAAATAGAAATAGATTTTTTTACACAATTTGGAACATTGTTTTATATTATCATTTCTTAACTAACCTTTTCTTCACATCAAATTTACAAAGCTGTTTGACTCTTTTATTGGTGAAGATAAAAAAGGAAGAGAAGAAAACATTTGGAGTTAATTTAAACTCTGACTCTGCTAGTTGTAATAAATTGTGTAGCTACACATGTTACTCAGACAATATGTTATGTAATAATTTGCCAGTTCACTAAGTTTATTTTGTTTTGTTTGTTATTTATTTGTCACTGTGGGAAAGTGCAATATAATTGTTTTTTAATCAATGATTAGGTTGTCAGGAAATATGATAAATCTGTGTTATTTTAGTTTACATAAGGGGCACAAATTAAGAAAAATACTTAACCCTCCTGGAGTCATTGGAAACTATTTTCAGATGACACATTGATGCTGTAAAATGTCTAGATGTTTAAACTTTATGAAAAATATTATGTCATATTAAACACAAATATGTACATGTGCGTATTATAATGTGGGACATTGAAAGATTAGTGCAATATGAAATGTATGTAAAAAGATCCAAGATCATGTGTGGAGTTTGCACCTTATTGTAAGTCAACCTTCAAACATTTGCTCAATGTATTACCTTTAGATTTTTAGGCCAAATTATTGGAATTTTGTATTTGTAAAAGAAATAGTCCTGGTACATGGAGGCACTATCTGTACCTTGTAACTTTTACCCCATGTCAGATCAGTTCCCAAGAACCTAGGACAGGATATGTTTGATAGGGCCATTATACAAAAGTGTTTAAGTCTAGAATGTGTAAAGGTTAATGCTATAAAGAGACCCATGTTTTCAGCTGTGAATTGTGTTGTTTCTACTTATGTATTAGAGAGTTTTTGTGATGCCAATTTGGTGCAATAGAATGTTTTTCAATAAATTTGTCAAAGAATTTGTCTTTTTCTCTCCATTAAGATTAGTATCCATAGGATATAACACAATATCCTTAATCTTCTGGAAGACCTTCAGCATTTTTAGGTCTCACTTTACTGGATGTGACTGTGGTATAATGTGTGTCATCCCGTTTTTTGTCCTTTGATTGAACATATTATGTCCCAAATGTAGCAGTATCAAAAAGGGAAGATCTAAGAGATTGCCATGTTTGTAATGATAGTGAAAAAAGGTGTTTATTTACTACTCAGGGGCAACATAATACAGTTGAACATAGGTATCTTAAATACCTACATGTACATGTAGAAGTGATTTTGAAGTCCAAATCCCTTTTTGTCTCTGGCATTGGGTTTGAGGGATATTGTAATGCAGTTGTTTTTTTTTTTTGTGTTGTGTGTGAAACAGAAGCGATGTAATTAGGGCCCCGCAAGGATTTGCGGGTGCCCTATAGTAATCACTCTGTCTGTCCGTCCGTCTGTCTGTCTGTCCGTCTGTCAACAAATTTTCTGTTTTTTTCTAATAACTTTTTTTATGGTTGCCCAAGGTATGGTAGTTTAATAGGCAGAAATACATATTTTGATGCTAAGTTTGATTCTCTATGTCTTCTAGTTTGGAGCTGGGGTGGTGGGGTATTGCATATGCCAAATGGCAAAAATACATATTTTGATGCTAAGTTTGTCTTTCTATGTCCTCTGGTTTTGAGCTGGGTTGGTGGGGTAGATTCCCTAACTTTATATAAGAATGCATTGGCAAAGAGAGATAACTGCTGAAGATGTTCCCATTCAGTAAACTGAATGCTACTAGGAGTCCCATGGGATTAATTAGCTTTCCTCCTGAAGAAAATCCAGAGCATTATCTTTATCTGTCACATTGAGATTAATTACCACATCTGTCTGCAAATGAAGTTTGTTTTGAAGTTAAATCAATTTGGAATGCTATGAACACTCTGAAATGTGGATTTAAATATAAATTTTTATTATTTATTTTTGTTTGATAGTTATGATTTCATTGAATCCTAAAAAAGAAGATTTTTTGATTTACCAGGGTACTTTTTTTTCACTTTTTTCCTCTTTTTTTTTAAAAATATATTAATTCAAGAATGTTTTTAATTTTTAATGTAGTTGTATAAAAACCCCATTCTATCATTAATACTGAAAAAGTTCTTATTGTAACTTTAGAAGAAAATGATGAGAGAGGTACAATCCCTTGGGATTAATTATCTAGCCTGCTGCAGAAAATTTAGTAGGCTTCTCTTTATCTGTCACTTTAAGATTAATGAAAACCTTTGTCTGCAACTGCTGTTTGTTTGAAGTTAAGGTCAAGCCTTCATGATATTTGCATTCATTGAAGGCTGGCATTTTATATAACACAAGATTCATAATTGTTTAAATATAAATTCAATGTTAAGTTGTTCTTTACTGCCTAATGTAAATACAAGAATATTATTTTCAGGTTTTTGAATATTCAGGAATTATGTTGAAATTTTAAGAATACAGTTGCTGTTGCTTTTTCTTTGTACATTTATTAATCATTCTGTAAGCTGCACCCTTTTAATTCTACCCCATGGCGGGGCCCTTGCTGACTGGTCAGTTTTCTAGTTTGCAGCGAGATTGATGCCAAATGCTACTCCGATTCATAGATGTGCATGTGCTCTTTGCAAGACAATGTTCTGCTTTATGGTGCCCTTGTTCTTTAAGTATTTTACCTTGGATATCTTGAAACCTTGCAAATCTGAAAGTTTTTTTCTTGGTCCCACTGAATTCAAGATCACAATGTTTGACTATAATATTATACTACATTTGATCCTCATACCTCCATATTATTAGGGATCATTAATTTCTGCAATGGTACCAATATACCAAGATGTTTGTTAAGTAAATGGTTTCTAATATACTGAGCTGACATCTTCCATGTAAATTAACTTTGACCCTTGATTTTGCAGGAACCAGTGTATCAAGTTTCATGTCCTTCATCAAGAATTCCCAGATATTGAGTACTCAGTGTCTTTCTGTGTCCTGTTTGATCCTTGATCTTATGACTTCAAAATCATCTACTCCTTAACCTCTTACATGGCATATACACATTTCTACGCATCTGACTTGAAAAACGAGTATAGTGTGAAAAGACATTCTTTATGACATAATTTGATCAACTAATCCTAAAAGTTAATCAGTTTAAAAAGTGAGTTCTCAAGATGCTGAATTGTCAGTTTTTCTATGTCCAGTTTGACCATTGACCTTGTGACCTCAAATTCAATAGCGGTCATCTACTTCAGAAGGGAAACCACCAGAGAACCAGGTTTTGTGTCTGTCAAACATAGGGGTATCAAGATATAGAATGGAAAATATCTTCCGAAGTCTAGATTATTTTGACCATTGACCTTGAAATTAATAGAAGCCATTTACTTTGTCACTCACTTGTCAAATATATTATATTTTAGGATGTTTTGACCTTTGACCTCAAAATCAAGAGGGTTTACTAGGGGATGCATTTACTCTTTCGGAGGAACCAGTGTCCCAAATTCTCAAGATATTTAGTGGACAAAACTTTTTTTGATTTTGTTTTGATCAATGACCTTGACTTTTCAAGTGACCATGATCTCCCTATCTACATTTACCTTAAATTCAAAGAAACAGTTAACCTACCGTTACTCATGCTAGTGGAAATATTCATTAATAAACTACAAAATTTTCTAACCTGACATTTTCTAAGACATTGATAACTTTCTCTCCTCACTTTGCTTTTAAGTTATATCAGAATAGTTATGCAACATAGAATGCAAGGTCAAGGTCAAAGAATTCTCTAAGGACAGCATGTTGTTGCTAGTGTATTCAGGTTCTATTTATATGAAAAAGTCCTTTAATATTCCACAAAATGAGTGTAGCACAAAAACAGGAAATGCAAGATTTCGAGAAGGCCACCATTGATGCATTATTGCTGCACAAATATTGATTTATGCAAAAGCAAGCAAGACGGAAAAAGGCATTTTTGGAAGACAAATATAACTTTCACCAAAGGCTATTACAGTGAAGTAGCTTAAAACTTTCTCTTCAGAAAGAGAAACACAATTTAAAGATTTCGAAGGCTGTAACACTGTTTGACAAAATACAGGGTTCAGTTTCTCCAGGACTTCAATTATACTGCATTAGAGATTAACAACGTCTGCAAAACGAATAATTTGGTATGCGGAATCAATACAAGGTCACGATTAAACAAGGCCAATTTGAAGATTTTTATGTTTTATTACAGTATCATTTATAAATATCAGCAAATTGTAACAAAGATCTTGACCATGTCAATTCCACAACAATTATACATGTAAAAAACACCATGCAACATACATCACCCTGACTGTTGTTATGGTAACAAATACTTTGGGCAAGATGGATGGAAGAGCTACACTATAACATAAATATATCAACCAAGACAGAGGCCAATGATAAAAAAAAAACGTATTGTAGAAAAATAAAAATGAAAAACTGAAATTTTATAGACGTATGCAACATTGGTCTTCTGTAATTTGAATATATCTTTGTCAATACAATTTAAATCTGCCTTTGAAAACTTCATCATATTTTCAAATGATTTGTCGAGTGTCGTGTGAGGAATAAATTTAATTTACTTTCATAAGTACAGATACATATAGTAGCACTATAAACACATTAAACCTACAGGTTTCTGTGGAAAAAATGTAGAATTTCTCGTTCAGCATCACATACATTTCAGCAAATGTAACAAATAGTAATTATCACTAACAAATTAGACCTGAAAAAATTAGCTACCTAGAGAAATGTTACTTTTCTGCTCTTAATTCTTATTAACAAATCTATAAACATTCAAGTAATGTTTAACTATCAGTCTGAGGACATTTCTAAACTTAAACATGTTAAACCATAAATATAACCTTGTAAGTTGTAGAAACAAAAACAAGATCTTTTGAACTCTACAGGAACAATGCCATAGTGAATATTCAATAAAGTTCATTTTTATTCTGTACTTTTCTGCACCATCTTGCACATAGTGAAGAGAGAGTGAAGATTGAGAATATCATGATAAAAATCTATGTGTTTCCTTGTAGAAGTTACCAGTGCTGCAGCATCCCATCACTGCAGGTCCTGGGCATCTGAATAACTTAAATTACTCTCTTTGTTAGCACACATTCTCTGACAGTCATATATTACATGTATTTCTGGCAAACATGCTCCTCCTAATTCTTCTAGAGCTGAGACCTTCACAAAAACATACACACAACTCTAATCTGACTCTTCAACAGTGCAATTTGCAAGCTTCTGTTAATGACATCATGTCACAATCCAATTTCTCTTTGACCCTCCCTAAGAAAACCCTTTCCCCTCTTTCTGTTTTACCTTTCAAATCACAGTATTAATTTACATTAATTAATCTAGTTCTCTATCATAAGAATTGCTGGTATCCTTCTGCTCCGGTGAATATCACATCAATCCATATCCTCATGGCCTCTGGTGTGGGGGCCACCATATAATAGGTCCTATCACAAGTTTTCACACAGAAAGTTAACTTATGATTTGGACTTTTGACTGTTCTTAAATGGTCAACATACACTTCCTCTATAGCCTGGAAATAAATGCCCCCTCTTGGTTTGGCCTCGTTTTTGTCAGTATAGTAAATTAGAGACCTCTTGTTTCTGTCGAACACAAACCAGCGTCTATGCCACGTTTTGAATTTGTTTCCCATTTTGTGTAGCCATCCCCTGCAGCTTGTGGCAGTGACCACCACATGAGGACAGTCGTCAAGGTGATGACCTGCAGACTCTATGTGGTTCTTAAGGTCAAATTCTTTACCTCTGACTGGTAGATATCTTGTTAGGGGTCGAGCCTACAAAACAAAACACAAAATACATGCATACATTTACCATACAGTTGAATTTCTCTATGCAAATTATAAATATCATGGATATATCAAAATGATGCCTATTGCAGGTTCCATCAATTTCCTTTTCAATCTAAATTTTAATCAGGATTTCTTGAAATTCTAGAATATCTTATTCTTTTGTAAGTCCCATTTAAGCTTGAGATACCAAAGTTATCATTGGTTAAACTTTGTTTTTATTGTTAAAAAATTCATATTTTTGACAAAATGTTTGCTTTCCATCTCCTCAAACTAAAAGACATTTATTTCTCTTATTCTAGGAATTTTTTGAGTATCTAATATATATATATCCCCACCTGTTTTGCCTGTTTATCCCGTAGTTTGATCTGCTGTTGGACTAGTTCCTCCCGGAGCTGGGTTTCCTCCTGAAGTTTCCTCTCCAGTTCCTCTCGCTTGTGTCTTTCCTCCTGGAGAGCCATCATTTCTGTCTCCCTAGTCTTAACCTACAACATAGTACAACATACAGAATATGGTAAAACTAATATAAGACATGAAAATCAGGATATCTTTAAAAAAATTTGATTGGGAGATGTCAACATTTTGATACTTACCTTGATATTTCCTTCTTAAATTCTTTTGAACAAAAACAATTTACTTCTATGTACTTGAATAACTTTTGAGCTGTATGAATCTTTTAAGTCATATACCTGATCTGCGATTATCCTCATTTTCTCGGACTGAGCTTGGGCAAGGAGTCTCTCTAACTCTATCATCTTCTCTAGTTGGTCTTCCCCACTGCTCAAGCTGAAAGACAAAGTGTAGAAAATTATCATCTCAATCTATAGATATATATATACATGTACCCGGTAGTAAAAATAAAGTAGTTACTAAATATCAACATAAGATCACTGCTAAAAAAGAGAACACTGTACACTGATACGCCAGCTCTGAATTAAACACACATATAGTCATGATACCACTCTTCAGATAAACAGACAATGTGTCCATGATATCACTGCCTCAACTGAACCAGATGTAGACTTGATAATGCTGTTCTCATTAGACAAGATGAAGACATAATACCACTGTTGTAATTGAACCAGATGTAGACATCAAACCACCATTCCTATTGAACCAGATGTAGTCATACCATTGTTCTCATTGAACCAGAGTTAGACATGATACCACTGCTTTGTTTAAACCAGATGTAAACATGATACGACTGCTTTGTTTAAACCAGATGTAGACATGATTCCACTGCAATGGTTGAACCAGATGTAGACATGATACCACTGCAATGGTTGAACCAGATGTAGACATGATACCACTGCACTGCAATAGTTGAACCAGATGTAGACATTATACCACTGCAATGGTTGAACCAGATGTAGACATGATACCACTGCACTGCAATGGTTGAACCAGATGTAGACATGATACCACTGCACTGCAATGGTTGAACCAGATGTAGACATTATACCACTGCAATGGTTGAAGCAGATGTAGACATGATATCACTGCAATGATTAAACCAGATGTAGACATGATACCACTCTTTTCACTGAACCAGATGTAGACATTATACCACTACAATGGTTGAAGCAGATGTAGACATGATACCACTGTTCTCATTGAACCAGATGTAGATATGATACCACTGTTCTAATTATAATTATACCACTCTTTAAAATAGAACAGAGGATGTACACACAATAATCACTGCTCAGATCAGAACACGTTGTTAGCACTGAACCACTGTTCAAATAAAACATCACAATGCAGAATAGAACAGTGTAGACATTTGATCATTATTTCCATTATATACTTCAATCATTAAAATTATTAATCAAATATAGCTTAACTCTATTCTGTTGAACATGTAAATTTAAAGGAACAATTAATAGTGCAAAGAGGTGAAGAACCCAATTATAGCTTAGAATTTGAAACAAAACAAACTCTTCATGATTATTGAGGGAAAAAACCTGAATTTCTGATCAAATTTAGGAAATGAAAATGCACTGTAATAATCAAATAACAATGCAGTAATTACTGTAACATTGCGTTTAATTGAAACTGACTGCAAAATCAAGCCATATTGTGTTTCATCTGATCATGAAAGAAATGAACAGAAAGCTCAAAACAATCCAGTCTAAGAGAAAACATTGTTTTACTGACAACTGAGATAAATACACAGAGGAATATACAGTAATGAGTCAGGGAAAAAAACATGTATAAATAAATCTCAACTGGTGGAGAATTCTTCAAATCAATATATGTGAAGAAAAACTTTTTAAACAATTTTTTAATCCACATCTGATAATAAAATGATATGTATAAAGAATAAAGGAATTTGGAACTCTGATTGCAACCTTCTTTAACCCACAAACACCTATAGCAAACCATTTAATTTGCTTTTATCTATGGAAAATGTTTCCTTACTTGCAAAAGCTAATTGTTGCAGACTGATTTCAAACTGACAAATTGTGAAAAAAAGATGAAGAGAATAAGAATTAATTGGTTTAACGACAATGCTTTTATTCAAATAAATATTACTGTAAATCTGGAAATTTTTGCTGTAGATAAATTTTTAGCAAATTTGTGAGTTCATTGCATTCGCAAAAATATTTTTCTTAAATATAAATCACCAATAAGAAAATGTAAACAAAGCAGTGGTCATTTGCAAAAATGTGAAACGTAAAAATTAATCAACAGCATTTTGACCCGAATGCGCAAAATGAAATTGACGTAAAAATTTTCAGATTTACAGTATAAAAATTAGTAGAACATGTTTACAGCAATCATGCTTAAGATGAAAACATGTAAATATGTACAGTGAAGAGATTCACATTTCCTGTAGTTTTAAGAAGTATATAAAATGTGTGGTTGTATTACTATTTCTTATTGATAATTTAAAAGGTTGTCAATATTTTTATGCAAAAACTCTTTCTATTTCTGTCAAAATCAACCCAACTTAAGCCATTTGCATTACAAAATGAAAGACCAAGATTAAAGTATGCCACTTGAGGAACAATATACCTACGTAGTTTGCAAACATTTTTTGCCATGAAACAATTGCCTCCCACAATTCCTTTAAATTGAAATGAAAAGGAAGTACGCCATTTAGATATTGGTGCAATGGTGGATCAATAGTAAGTTCTATCAGTGTACAATTAATTATGATACTTCGTATAACAGAGCTTTTGATGAACAGAGTGTTTTAATATTTCTAATTGATTTTCTCATCAAGCAATTTTTATCTTAATGGAACATGAGACTACTAAGCATATAAACACGATGTTCTCTTCTGATACTAGCTGGACTCATCTGATATGCAAAAACAAACCATCGACACAACCATCGAAACTGCAAGACTTGTATCGTATATGACTCTTGTGTTACAGGGTATTTTCATATTGTAATAAGTACTCGTACCTTTTTATTACAGCCTTAGGTACATCCTTGTTGAATGAAGATTGCATAAAGTACTAAAAATATTTAATTAAACAGTAGATTGAAGTCCAAGTTAAAACCAATGATGCATTAGCAAACAGACAGATTCCACTTATTCGCACTTCGGAATGAGGAATTTATTGTTTCTGCATTACCATTAATGCCGACTGGAAAAATTTTGTTATTTGATTAATTGTTGTACATGTAGGGCATTGTCATATTGATTTAAATGGAGATGTTGGAAAACTGACCCGCAGACCTAACGAAGAACATTCCGAGAATGGACTGATCATTGTCCAGTCCTGGGTCTTTTATGATCAATTAGCGAGTCACAAGTTCAGCCGGGAAAGGAATGATGAATTAAGATGAAGCGATATCGACAGTTTCGCGGACACATAATCTCCGGTTCCAATATAATAATTATAAAATAACAAAGGTAAATCACAAATTTTTGACAGAGAGATTCATCTCATAGAATTAAGTCCCACGTACAGCTAGAAAAGAATTAAATAGCATGTACAAAAGCATAGGGCCTACGCTCAGGATAAATAACAAAATTTAACATAAAGGCCTGAAGGAATATATAGATCCTACAGTTCGTAATAAAGACATTCTGATATTAAAGGGATCACCAAAAACTCTGACAGCACGTTAATTAATTGCAATTAATTTTTTTGTAATATTATTGTACCAATGGGAAATCTCCTCTGAATATCAACTGTTTGAAATTAGTGTTTGATTCATCCTATCCTCTGATATCAACATAGGAAATTGATGTTTTGTTGGGTTCGTAAAACTTAGTACAATAATTGATTTACAATGAACATCTGAGCCATATATATATTATGTTCTGATAACCTTTAGAGATTGAAATGCCAGCAAGCAATATAGCAAATTAGAAATAAAAGCTATATAATATGTTCTACCTAAATGAAATATTTTATGTGCATTATCCTTGGATATTAAAGAAACTTCACAAAATTGTCCTTGCTTCTCAAATATAATGTGTCAACCTTTTAGAAATATGAGGTGAAAGAGTTCATTTCATTGTTTACTTTATGAAACTCAAAGCTGTATTATTCAGCTAACTAAAGATGAAAGACGACGAAAATGTAAAAAAGATGATATTGGTAGCTATAAATAATAGATAAGTCAACTGATTAAGTACTGTTAAACTTTTGTGTCTTAAACATCAATACCTCAAATGCCAAGGGTATGCTAAGGTGCAATGGAATTGTGTCCCAAGCACTTAAGTTTTTTATCACACTTTTTTACCTCATATCTTTAATTGTTGTTAACTTGAAAGTTTTTTTTCTTGCACTCAAAAGAGATTGAGATATAACTAGGTTTGACTGAAATAATTTTCCCATATAAATTGCTATACTCTCTAATTTTGAATAAATATGATAATCATCATACAAAATTTAATTGTGATAGCATTTATTTGTTTAAAAATACTTTTTTTGTGATATAGCATTTGATACAATAGGTTTTATGTTTGCTGAAAAGGTTAATTTCCAAGTAATCACAAGAACATAATAAAATACGAGATCTTAAATCAATGCAAGTCAAAAAACTTTTTTGAGTATCATTTCATTGTAATTCATTAGAAAAAAAAAGAAATTAACCATCAATGAAATCAAACTGTTAATTGGGTCAAAACAATTGCCGTCATAATATTGTAAGGACAAGATAAATTGCATATTGCATAACAGTTATCTAAATAATGCACTAAGAAAATAAGGGTAAACTAAGTTCAAGTACCATTTTATGTTGATTGCGGAAAATCATCCAAAATTGGAGTCAATGAAGTATGGCTGTACTATTAGCATATAATTTACATTCTTTCCTAATAAAACCCCTTGTTAAATGAACCAACTGTTTTCTTAAAAACATAGGTATAAAACCAAATTATACAGATTCTCATTTGGTTTGTCAATGAAATGACGGAAAAATGATTGTCACATTTAGAATAATCTGCGTTAAGGGGGATCAGAAAATTACGTCTTACAGTGAACTTAGACTTTTACCACAGAAAAAAATCCTAGTGTATGTTAAGTGATCGAAGTATAATGGTCTGGGTACTGCGGCCATTTTATAGTCATTGACACAGAAATTACTGAGGTAGACTTTAATTACATCCCGATTATAATACAAACCCTTAGTCCAAAATCAATCTTGTTTGAAATGTCATCTTCACCACCAGTTGTGATTGATAAAGCAAAATGATTGTCTTCTGTCTTTGAACAACAAGATTGCAAAGAGCAAAAAAAAAAAAAAAAAAAAAGGATTAGCTTTTTTTTTTTACTCCAACTAATACTTTAATTGCAATGACAATTTCTTTCAGTCATACT